GATGTCATGCTCTTTAACAAAAAATTTTCAAGTGTGGAGTTTACAGTAGACTAGAGAAATGCTTCCAAAATATTATCTATTGTGAACAAATGCAAGAAAAAAGAATGCATAAGTTTGTGTAAAGGTGAGGAGTGAACTATAAAAACATAGAAATGAAAATGTATTGTCCAATGAGAGAAAGGGCAATATAGTTCTGATGAGTATTAAAAAGAATTAAAGTTAGTTTCCCAGTTTCTCTTTAAAAGAAGCTATGTACAGTTTGAACAGTATACTAACTGTAAATTAGGAAATTAAGTGGCATATGCAAGTAAGAAGTGTCTATTCAAAGCATTGCCACATTAAAAATTCGTAGTTGTTAACTTAGATTTTCATAAGGTTTATAGTGAAGTTACTTGGTCGATGACTGAACAGCTACATGCATTTCTGAAAAGTGCTTTTATTAAAAAAAAATAAAGATTCGCCTTCTATACTAAATAAAAATCTTATTTTTAAGGTATTAATAGAGGGTAATTATGAAAAGAGATATCGTTAGATTTTTGACAGAATACTTACAGTAGTCAATACAATAACTTTGAAAGCAAGAAAACTCTCAGTCACCGTGGAGCTTGTTTTCTTTAATCCCCTCAACCCAGGCAAGTTTGATTTCATATTTAATTCAAAAATCTCATGCCTACCCTCCCACCCTTTGTCACTTTAATAACTTCCATGCCATTGGCTTGTTTTTTCTGTGTACTGAAATGCACTGTCTCAATTCCCTATAGAATCTAAACCATTAATTAAGCACCACTTTTTTTTTAACGATTTATCCAATATTTTCATACGTCTACTCCCATCACAATTTTTATTCTGTTAAAGAAAGAAGCAAAAGGTAAGTGACTGTTATTTTAAAGAGTTTTAATAGTTAATGGGGATATGTATCTTTTCACATTAATCATAAGCCATTTGTGGAACGAGCTTCCTGTTTTTCTGTGCTACCAACTCTGCTTATTTTTGAACTCTCATATGAAAGCATGTCTTACCTCTTATGTATTCCTAAAATCACAAAATTTGATTTATTCTAGTTCAGTGATGAACCCCCACCAAGTCAGATGCTCAGTCAGATAAATATTGTGCAATTTCCTGGTGCTCACCAATTTAAATTAATAATTTGCATACATAAATATATTTTTTCTGAAGTATGCACATTGTGTTACAGGAATCTCACTTTGCCTCTGAGATGGGCAAGATAACTGTAAGTATATTGGATTTATTGGAATTAGAATCTAAATTCTGATTTTTCAGAAGCCATGAAATGGTTTACAAGAAGGAGTACTTGAAATGCAGTTTTGAGTGTTTCAGTTACATTTTACCACATAGTTCTATCCCCTGCTAATTTTTTGGCTCAGTATTTACATGTTGCTTGGAATAACCCTAAACATTGGGAAAGGAGTGCTGGATTGATACTGTGTGTACCCAGCTGTGTGGCATCTGCTCTGGAGCTTGTTAGTGTGTGGATGTTCAGAAGCACAGAGATATCAGATGTGCAGTTTTCTACAACCTGCATAGGCATATCTTAAAGGAATCTTTTTTCCTTTGCCATTGCAAGTTAAATAAGAAGCAGTAGTACAGTTGCATAAGTTTCAATGAGTTCCTGGCTTTATCATTGATCATTGACAATGTAAAGACAAAGTATTTCTGGAAATATTTGGATTGTGTGTGTTCATCACAGTAAAAGCATTTGTTCCTTCAGAGAATCTTTTTTTCATTTTTTTACTGAAATAATTTTTTGTCATTCTTGCCTTGTTCATAATTTTTTTTTTTTTTTTTGGAGAATTTTCTTTGAATTTGCTCTTAGAGCATTTATGTACCAGAACTCCACTTGCATAAATACATGCGTGTACACTGCAGCCAAATTTCTCTGAAAAAATTGCTGTCATCTTGTAGAGAAGAAGAAACTACCACACTGTGAACTGTGAAATGCTGATAATAAGTTCATTTTTAGTTAGTTAACAAAAGTCTGAAGGTAAAGCCAAAACCTGGCTATGTTTCTCATGTTGTATCATTTTTGTGGTGAATACTTTGCAAGTCTTGGGAAAGATCATCTGAAACGTCTTTTAAAAGTACTTTTTAAGAATAATTTGTCAGGTTGATAACCCTTATAAATACTTCTTTGTCTTGCTTTTATTTCCTATCAGAATTCCAGGTTGCATTCTAGTTTCTTCTGTATTCTGTTACACGATCTTTGTATGTTCCTTGTAGAAAACATTGTGGCTTCACAAAAATCATTGAAATATTAAGGCATATCTTTTCTTTCTTTGCTTAAATTTTACAGAGTAGGCAATAAACAGCAGGAAAAATTGTTAAAAAGGTCTTTGAAAGTTATCATCAGAATAGGAAGTTTAGTTGTCCAGTGAACGACCCTGGTCTTGCCCTGTGCCTGAGATGATTATCTGTAGACTATACTGTGCATAATCCACATTAGAACAATTTCTCACTGTGAGAACAACAAAACACTGTAGTAAATTGCCCAGAGAAGGGGTGAAATCTCTGCTTGACAGCCCCCTGGGTAACCTGACATAAGGCTCTGATTTCAACAGAAGGTTGGACCAGGTCATCTCCAGGCATCCTTTCCAACCTAATTTTTTCCATGATTCTGTGAATCTGTCTTTGATACTGAAGCAAATATGAGGAAATGGACCAGGCAGGCTGTGGCTGCTTGAAATTTGTGGAAAGTAGTAGTCCAGGCTCCTCTAATCCATTCCTCAGAGAGAAGCAACTGTGCTGTGCTGTATTAAGAAGAAAATGAGAGGGGAGGACATTTCTGGAGTTTTTCAGAGGAGGGATGTAACGGATAGCTAGAGTGTGGGGGAAAGTCCTGTGCAAATTTGAACATAAGTATCAAGGAGGGTAGCTGGACAGTTGAAGAAACCTAGGACAAAAAGGGGGTAAATAAGGAGTGAAAAGGCAGAATGGTTTTGAATATACATTTGGTATACTAAACAGTTTTAAGTATTGAGTGTATTCGCTATGTGTGATAAGGTTTGGATAGCAGAAGGGCTGATAATGCAAGAGCCTCTAGATGCTGAGGGTTGTGTAGTTTGGATAGTCTTTGGGTTATTGAAAGAGGAGAACTCTGAAAGTAATGGAGGAGAAAAGGTACCTCAGGACATTCTTAAATGGTCTGTAGTTTGAAGTCCTTGGAAAGGCTGGTGGCTCACCACTGCTGTCTTAAATACTTGAGAAAAATAAGGAAGAGAGTTGTTTGGAGCAGGTCTCAGCATAGTTAACTTTTTCATAAAATTGGACATATAAACTCAGAGATGAAAGACAGTGACCCTTCTCCAAGTTGAATAATTTCTTTTTGTTATTTTTCATTGATTCAGGGAAGTTGGATTGTGTAAGCAGATGGATATTTTGTTTGTCTTTGTAATCTATCAAAATATGCTTGACATTGTGGTTGCTTTTCTTTTTTAGCATCATCATTTTCTTCAGAGAGTAAGGTTAATTCTCTCCTTAGATTGTTCTGGATCATTCCATTAGCTGGCTACTGCAACTGTCAACAAAATACCCGTCTTAAGGCGTTTTCTTCACTTTAGTCTATAGATGAAATCAAGAGCATCTCTGAGGTGTCACTGCCATGTCATGTGTGCTGTGTATGTCAGATTACACTTTGCAGTATGATACAGAAATTGTTAGAAAAACCTGAATGTGTGCTTTAGTGTGACATTAGTTGGATCAGATCAGTTACTACTGCTGCAAATGCCTGGTTTTTATATAGTGCTTAGGTATCTGTAGAAGACAACCACATTGTAGAGAAGGGTTAATATTAATACCCTTATCCTTGTTTTAAGATGGGGAACATTAATGTGAAGAGGGAAAGTTCCTTGCCCATAGTCACACACAGAATCAGTGGTGGAGCTAGGGTTAAAATCTGCATCTTTGTTAAACAATCTCTTAATGGTGGGTTCTTAAGAGTAGTGTGGATTGGAAGGGGAGACTATGTTTTGGATTGAATACACCCAACATTTTAATAAGAACATTGCATAACCTATGAAAAATTTTGTCTCGGTATGTTGAATTGTCTCTATCCAGATTTTAATTATCCCTGCTAAAGAAAATAGATGGCTTTCTGCCACTGTCTGTTTAGCTAGCTGTAAGCCCTATTGGGCATATTGCATGGTATGCTGATTAATGATACAGGCTGTGGGTGATTAGCCATGCATGTAACAAGGTCCATAGGTTCCAGTATGTTGTAGAAATACCATGCATCAATATAACCGCACAGTCTGTCGTGTCTTCTGCAAAGTAAATTTAGACTAGTGGTGTAGCCCCCAAAGAGCTGCTGCAGTGCCACACAGCCATGCTTGTTTTTAGAGGAGGCTTAAATTTAATCCAAGGATTTGTAGGTTTGGTGCTTCATGTTTGTTTGTTTTCCTTGATAGCTTTCTTACTGTAATTGTGGGCATCTCCCTATCCGCATTTTTCTTGCAGAATAATCCAAAAGACTTAATATCATGTGATAAGTGTGGGATATTTTATTCTACATGTGCTTAAAAAAGTTTGTTATGTTTCTCAGCATCCAAGGGCAGGAGACAGAATAGCTTGATGAATTCTGACAAACAGCATGCTGTTTTATAAAATTTCACTAGATCAAGATGTCAGATGTCAAAGACTGTATGTGCTGATTTTATAGCTGAATACAATTTTCTAATATATTATTGGTACTGGTTAAATACTTTGGTTTTTAGAGAATGCTGTAAATACGTAATTATTTTTACTTTCATTTCACACTTAATGCAGTAATTCTGTTATGGAAGTGGGTTTTTTTTTTTTATAGTGTCCTGAGCAATCATTAGGATCACACCTCTGAGGCTATATAAATTCAGATTATTCATAATGTTTTTTCTTCTGAGGTTTTTCTAGAGCAATAATATGATGTAATTAATTTGCTTTTAGTTATTACTCTTGTTAAAATTTCTGTAAATAAAATTTCTGTAAACTTATCTCTGAAAAATTTACAGGCAGTAGCTCAATTCCAAATTTCTTTCACATCATGAAGAGACAGTTTACTGAAACAGAGTGGAGTGTAATCAAGTCTATGAGTAATGAATGGATGCAGCTGGATATGTTTCATCGGCACTGGGTAGTGTTTTTTTTTCTCTAAAGACTGTAATGCTATAACCTGTATGTTTTCTTTTGATACGTTTTGTTACTATTTTCATTATAGTAAAATTGTATACTTTTTATAGTTTCTTGTTCTTTTGGAGATGCTATTTTAATTTTATATTTTAGTGATTTTTTTTTTAATGTTATAATAACTTTGAGAACAATTGTACAGCTGAGTTTTCTAGAAAGATATATGACTATAGTTTTAAACACATACCCAGAGCAAGGTAAAGGGTTCATATCTCTGTGTACACTTGGTAATTTTGCTTGCATGTTCATTATAATGGAGCAAAGTTAGGCAAGGTATTAATAACACTGGTAACTTTTTCTTTTGGTAATTGCATCATTCTACCCTCACATTTACAGTAGTATAAGTCTTAAATTTATTTGGTCTTTAGTGCTGCTCAGAACTAAAACAGTTTGAGAACAGCCAGTATGAATAAAATACATTTATTCTGTGTTCTAGGCCTTGAAGGAAAGCTTCTTAAAGGCTATTGGAGTAGGAATTGGCTTTAACTTACAAAGAATTGAATTTAATGTGTCCCCACTGCAACTGGAAACAGGGAAGGTGTATAAGGAGACAAAAATGCTTCTGGATGGAGATGAAGAAGAAGAGTGGACATTTGAAGTAAGAAATATTAAATTTTTTTTTTTCAATAATGGGAACAGTCTCAACACCCATATGTTTGCATCGCACTTTTTTTTTTAATTGCATCTTTACACCTTTGTTCTGTATAACCACATTGAATATACATACAGCAATAAAAACTTGGGATAGTAATCCACAGCATTTTAAAATATTTTTGATGATTGCAAAACCACCCCAGAGATCTGTTTGTCATAATGGCTCTTTATTTTTTATGTTCCTCAAATATACTTCTTGCACTCAATGAAATTCATCCTAGGGAGTTCAGGAAATTCACCAACGCATATGCAGACCTGATTTGTGAACAGTGTCTAAGATTTTCAAGCTCTTCAGCAGTTGGTCTAGAATGGGACTAGTGAGTAACTAACCCCATTAGTTAGTGTTTATGTTAAATGTTTGAAATGGAGGAGCTGTCTTCAGCTCCTTTGGGTTTCCTGGTACTCGTCCCTACAAACTGGTAGAAATGTACTTTTGTGGGTATGAAGTTCCAGTGTGCTGGTTAGCTGCTGTCTGTGGGAATGGAGAGATGCAAAAATCTTGACTTTGCTTAACAGAACATTGGTTTGGGCTCAGCCTTCTATCAGAGCATCGGTTTTTTTGTTTGTTTGTTTGTTTTTTTTTTAATTCTTGAAAGTTATTAAGACTTATCACCTAAACATCTATCCTGTTAGATTTGGTAGGAAATGATCAATAGCATCTAATTTAGTTTAAAGTTTAGAGAGAGAAAGAACTAATAGGAGCAATGTTTTAATGGTGGACTTGATAGTGTTGGTTAGTGGTTATACTTGATGGTCTTGAGACTCTTTTCCACCCTTATGATTCTGTGATTCTGTACAATGACCTCAAATTACTTCATTACCCTAAGAAACCGAGTTTAAAAAATTTAATAAATCATAATACCATTTCTCTACATCCCAGAGGTGTTTTAATCCAGCTGCTTAAAACAAAGGTTGAAATGCAAAAGACATTGACTTAAAATTGTCCTTAAAGGGCACCTTGTTCCAGTCTGCTATAAGTTTGTGCTGCTGGTATTTAGACAAGTGCATTTTTTAGAAAGAGTAATTTACAATACCTGTTTATACTTCAAAAATATCTACATTTTTGGAGACAACAGTTCCAGTAGAGCTTGTCTAAATGAGAGATTTCTGCTGTATGCTTGTTCTGTGTAGGAGTGAAACTCTGTGTATGCTATGCATGTAGTAAAAAAGAATTAATGCGCCAATAACATTTAACTTACAGCATTAGTTGAGCTGTTCACAGTTCATTCCTTTTAGTATTTCATAGCCACATCTGGTTTTATGCTATTTTAAAAGCCTACCCATATTAAATCAGCTCTCTTACTAATATTGCCATACTCTCTAGGAATTGAGTATGTCATGAAATTTGTTAATGGGGAATTGCAGACTGGCAAATTGGGAAAGACTCTGACATGCGTTTCAGCAGAATGCTTTCTGTATTGCTGCTGACAGTATGCCATTGTCAAGGAAACATCTACTTCTATCAACTGAGTTCTAGAAATCCTAATTTTGGTCTTTGATGACATGCCTGTGTCTGGCTGACTAAAATAGCCTGATGATGATGATGTAGATAGCTCCCTACATTACTCAAATGCTTTATAATTGTTTGATTTTTCCTTATTACTTTGTAATTACTGCTAGAAGTTTAATTTATTTTTTGTCTGAGGAATGTCTCCTCCTCCATGCTTGCCCTTCTGCTTCCCAAGAGTGCAGCCTTATTACGAGGCAGTTTGCAGTGTTACAAAGAATGGATTTATTATCAAGTTTCATTTAATACAAGCTCAATTGGAATATAATTTAATTTCAGTATCAACAATTATTAAGCTGATATTGGAAAAAAATAATCAGTTTTTCAGTTACCAATCCCCAACCTAAAATAAGCATCACTTTCCTTTTTCAGTCTTCTCCCAAGTTTCTTTTAGTTTTGTGCCCATCAAAGACAAAGGTCCTTTGTTATTTCATCGTTAGCTCTTGAAACATCTTGTTAACTGAAAACAATAATTTACTAATTTTGAGAAATCTGAAGAGTCACCAAGAGAAATCTGTAAGAATCACCTATAAAATTCCATATTACTGGTATAGTGTTTTCCTTGTGTTCCCTGTTGTGCTGAGTTTGCTGGAGTGAACATGTTTTAGCAAATAAAATAATGTAATGACCTCACTTTTCAGATCTTCCTATATCTTTATGATAGGAGGGGATCAAAGAGAGCAAGGCTGTTTAAAAGCCAATTAACACATGGTTTTGGATTGCCTTATTTGAGTTTTAAAAATACTCTAATTTACTGAAAACAAAAGAGGGAAGCAAAGGGGATTTTATCCATTAAAATTACATAAAAATTCTGAAATAGCCTTTAGAACGTACTATGCAATGTGAAAAAAGTAACTCAGAAACATTAAGACTAGAAAAAGATCTACCATATTATACTTGTCATACTAAAAGGTCAAGAGAAGTACTAGTGAACCGAAGCAAATCAATGTTGACACTGTTCAGACACCCTAAACTGTTCACAAGAGCAAAGCATGTTCATAGAATTTTCTGTGAGCATGGAAATAATAATTTTCTGTAATTTCATTGTAAACACCAAATGAACTACCTTGTTGTGTAGTTGACTGTGACCCCTTTTCCAAGGAGATATTTTACCTAGTTTTGTTCGAAGTGTCTTTTCCCTCCTTCACTCCTCACGTATTTTTGAGCTTGGATAGACAACAGTAGCTCAGAAACAGTTTCTTGCTGTTTGATCTTGTTGGATCAGTTTAGCTTCAGGCACTTGTTTTCATGTAGTACTCTAGAGATTGCTAGGCAGATTCCCTGCAACTGTTTTTGGAAGGACAAGAAAAAATACAGTAAAACTTCATTGAAAAGCATAAATCTAATTTTAAGATATGTTGTGTTTAATATGTTTTATTCACATAGGCAGTGTGCACTTTCCTCATTTTATTAAGGTGCATTTGTTTAGTAATAGAAATTTTGCTAGCCCAGTGAAAAGCGACACAGTATTTGTGTCAGATTGTTATTTTAGGATGGAGCGATGATGATAATAACATAGATTTGGGGTAATTCTGTATGCTCCATTTACTTCCTTTGAAGAAAATAAACTTACAGAATTACTCTGTTTTTTCTGGGATAGATTTTATTTTTTTCCCAGTAGCTGGTACAGAATTGCCCTTGCTTCGGCTGGGATAGATTTAATTTTCTTCCCAGTAGCTGCTACAGTGCTGTGTCTTGGATTTAGGATGAGAATAATATTGATAACACACCGATATTTTTGGTGTTGTACCAAGTCAAGGGCACCAGCTTCTTACCACTGCCCTGCCAGAGGGGAGGCTTTATGGTGTTTCGTGACCTGCTAGGTTAAACCTCAGCAAGAATGAAGTGCCAGTTAATTTTAATAAAGGTGAAAGATAGGTGTCTGTAGCAGATCTGGTATATGGAAAAAAAGAATCCTAATTACTGATTTGCAAAATATTAAGTACTCACGATTTTTTCCTTATTGATCCCAGTTTTGCACCATTAGTCAGGAAGAATGACTGGATAACACTTACTGGAGTTTATATTAAAGAAGAATCTTAAATGAGACATAAGACCCTTCTATTTGGGTCCCTACCTCAATTTTGGATATAGCCAGTTTATAAAGAAAGCACCTAATTTATCCTCATGTTGTGAGGACCTCATTTGGTTTTAAGAATCACCTGGCATCACAGGTGCTGTACAAGTAATTGTTTGTATTTTTCCAAACAAATATTTGCTTTATTTGTCTATATGCAAATACATTACTTTCAGAATATGTATTTCAGATTGAGGTTACCTGAATCAGTTTGAAACATATTTAGTAATTGTTGTTGGTATGCAACTATAACAGTCTTTCAGCCTCAGTAAGAGAAGTTAATTCTGTTGTATTGCCAGGAATAAATATGAATGAAAACTTTTACTTCTAAGACCATTTAATCCAACTGGATTCACACAGCAATCAGTTATGCTTGCTAGGAAGGTACAGCTTCTTCATAAGCTGTCTGTTGTTGATGGAATCCAGAACAATTTGAATCCCAGACACATCGCTTTGCTGAGCCTTTGAAATGAGGTCATATGTCTCGTGCCTGTAGCTTGAACAGCTCTGGTAATACTCTGGTTCTGTGCAGAGCAAAACAAATTTTGATCAATTATGTTTGCTGGTTTATAGAGATGAATCTTAACAAAACCAACTACCTCAGAGGAATTCTGTATGATTGTCCTCTTTCTCTTTTTTGTTTAATCGTCTATTTCCATTTAGAGGTTGGATTTATTGTGTAAGTTGGTACAGCAGTATCCCCAGATGAGCAGGTAAGCAAGCTGATTCGCTGTTTTTTGTGGTTTCAGGATGTTTCATTAACTCCATGCCTTAAGGTTTTTGCTGGCTGCTGGTGGGGACCAGGAGAAGTCTCCTTCCCTCCTGTATTTGGTTTGGCTTTACATTTATTTCTCTGAAGCAGCAAAGATAAGATGAAGAGCATAGTTTGTTATATTTTATTGTAAGATGGAAAAAACCTCGTGATCACAAAGGATATGTGAAGTGAATGAGGTGGAACTTCTGACTTCAAATGTAGTTTGCTGCTGAATGTGCTGTATTGTATTCTCTGTTCTGATCACTTGTTAAAGTCTTGGAAATGCAGAAAATGAAAGGAAAGAGGGAAATACATGACTAAAAACTGGATGTAGCAATTTTTCCACCTAGACGAGCACAAAGCACTGCACCTTAGAACTGTGTAAATTGTTCAGCTGCATTTGATCAGACATCTAATTTTCATAGTCTGTTTTTGAGGAAGTTCTAGAAATGTGCATGATGTGTACAAGTGGTTCGATTTCATAAAACCTGAGGTAGCATTCTTTATTTTCAGTCTTCTACCCTAGTAAATTAATAGAAAACTAAGTAAAATATTTCATAGTAAATACACTGCTATAAAGGACTATTGCTATTTCAATGCAGTTACTTTATAGTATTTTATATTATGCTCTGCTTTTTTTTCTGAAACATACTCTAAGCATTTATAGTCTGCTGGAAACAGAGTAAAGAAAATACATTTACGTTGCTCTTATTCATCTTTACTAGGAAACCCGGTTAGATGACCATCATCACGTTGCAGTGGCCCTTGGGAAACAGGAGGGATTTGTACAGAAGCATTCTGATGTAAGAAATTACAAAATGTTTTCGGTTTTTGGTAACTAATCACTCAAACATAAACTTAGTCTGATGCTGTAGCTAAAAGTGTGTTATCTCAGATGTAGGGCCAAGGAGAAAGCTTATCTTAAGCATAGTATTAACCAGAGTGTTACTGAACTGTTACCTCTAGTTCTATTGTGCCTTTTTTCAGGACAGGTATGAGAAGGAGAAATGGTTTCAGAGGATAGTGACAGATAATCTGGAATGTGTATGTTAGTGTTTCAGCATGTTCACTGAACAGTAAATCAAGTGATTTTTGTCGCAGCATGTTAGTACTTATGTGGGAAAGATGTTTTTTGCAGAGGGAAATGGAGACGATGAACCAGTCTGGACAGCTAACCTATCACAGCACTTCACCAAGTTGATTTTAACAGGGGACTTCTCAGTACATGTGTCACAGAGCAGAGCCGTCTTTCAAACACCATTATGACAAGGTAACCCCTGAGACAAGCAACAACCAACAGATGGGAGGAACAGCAGTGTTAGTCTTCATTCCATGTGTGTGTCTATTGAGAGAAGCAACAAAGTTACATACAAGCTTTTCAGGATTTTCTTTGTAATTTAACAAAGACCTGGGTCATGAAAATAGCCATAAAAGTCAAATTTGAAGCAGACTTGCAAGTCAGAATCATAGAATCGTTAGGGTTGGAAAGGACCTTAAGATCATCTAGTTCCAACCCCCCTGCCGTGGGCAGTGACACCTTACACTAAATCATATCACCCAAGGCCTCGTCCAACCTGGTCTTGAACACTGCCAGGGATGGAGCATTCACAGCCTCCCTGGGCAACCTGTTCCAGTGCCTCACCACCCTAACAGGAAAGAATTTCCTCCTTATATCCAATCTAAACTTCCCCTGTTTAAGTTTTAACCCGTTACCCCTTGTCCTGTCAGTACAGTCTCTAATGAAGAGTCCCTCCTCAGCATCCCTGTAGGCCCCCTTCAGATACTGGAAGGCTGCTATGAGTATCCACGCAGCCTTCTCTTCTCCAGGCTGAACAGCCCCAACTTCCTCAGCCTGTCTTCATACAGGAGGTGCTCCAGTCCCCTGATCATCCTCGTGGCCTTCTCTGGACTTGTTCCAACAGTTCCATGTCCTTTTTATGTTGAGGACACCAGAACTGCACACAAGACTCCAGGTGAGGTCTCACGAGAGCAGAGTTACAGGGGCAGGATCACCTCCTTCGACCTGCTGGTCACACTCCTTTTGATGCAGCCCAGGATACGGTTGGCTTTCTGGGCTACAAGCGCACACTGAAGCCAGCTCATGTTCATTTTCTCATTGACGAGCACCCGAAGTCCTTCTCCGCAGGGCTGCTCTGAATCTCTTCTCTGCCCAACCTGGAGCTGTGCCTGGGATTGCTCCAACCCAGGGGTAGGACCTTGCGCTTGTCATGGTAAAAGTTCATGAGGTTGGCATCAGCCCACCTCACAAGTGTGTCAAGGTCCCTCTGGATGGCATTCCTTCCCTCCAGCGTATCAACCGAACCACACAGCTTGGTGTCATCGGCAAACTTGCTGAGGACGCACTCAATCCCACTGTCCATGTCAGCGACAAAGATCTTAAAGAAGACCAGTCCCAACACCGATCCCTGCGGGACTCCACTTGTTATTGGTCTCCAGCTGGACATTGAGCCATTGACCACAACTCTTTGCGTGCGGCCATCCAGCCAGTTCTTTATCCACCAAGTGGTCCATCCATCAAATTGATGTCGCTCCAATTTAGAGACAAGGATGTCGTGTAGGACAGTGTTGAACGCTTTACACAAGTCCAGGTAGATGACATCAACTACTCTACCCGAGCAGTTGTAGCTGAAATAGCCAGACAGTCAGCAAAGCAAAGTGTGACAAACTGCCAGTTTTGTCTGTAGTGTTCTAGTTGCTCACAAGAAAATGGGTTATTGTTTTCTGTTATTTACTTGAAAAGATTGTGTCAGAAACTAGAAAACGATAATTAGTATATGCATGGATGAAGGAACGAAAGTGGTCATGTACACATCTATCGTGGTCATAAAGTCTGTGTTTATGGGTAGTACAGAGAGGCAGACCTTTTAATTAAGTATTGGTTAGGTTGAAAAAAACAGGTACAAACTACCTTTGAGGATTTATTGTGGTATATCAGTGCTGAAATATTCTTTAAGAAAGTGTGTGCATTTTGTTTGAGAGGACATATTTAAATTGCCAGTGGTGCTGCATCTCATCCTTTCTACAGGAATACTGATAAATGTCTTTCTGAGGTGAAAAGAAGGTGGCCATTGTTTCTAAAGACAATTACCTAAGTATTGTACAAAAATCCAGGAGTTTTAATTGTTGGCTTTCATCATCACTGTTACACACCTTAAAATTATTAAAGAAAGAACAGGCATCAGGAGTTACTATGAGAAGTCTTTGAATCAAGAAAAGTCTCAAAGGCATACTTGTCCACTGATAAATTTGTGATCGCCTAAATTTCATTAGCTCAATTCACTGAAAAAAAGGTCATTTTAAATAGGACAAGTGAGCATTCTGTAATTCCCAATATGGAAATAAAGTACTTTTTCACGACTCTGACATGAATGTGGAGGAAATTAAAAGTGGCCTTCTGTCTTTCTAAATTTTGCAGAATGATAAGAAAGGATTCTCTGTATTACTAGATGTGTCAAGAGGAAAAGGTGTTCTTCATCTTAGTTAAAAAATAGAGTGTGTAGACATCATGCAACTATTTCAAGACGTCAGTGCTTGTTTCTGTTCCCTCTGTGCTATCAAAGGAATAATTCATGATGTCTATTTATGGACTTTCAGAGCTTTCTTCCCAACCTGATAGCAAGTAGCTACAAGTCACAGGAAAGACCAATTGTTACTTTAACATACTATAATTTAAATTCTCTGGTTGTCAAGAATTTTGACAAAATGTCTGCTGCTGACTGCTACATGCTTGAAGAGACGGAACATTTATCTGCACTCTTAACCTCATCTAGACAGTTACCCGAGGCGAGTCTCAGTGAAAGATAGCCGAGTTTATAATTCTTTATAATTCCTATGTAGGCTACAAGACTGTCTTTTTGTCGCAACCCTGGACTGAGGGATCAGCTGTATGCATGTTGGATTCATGGAGCTTTGCTGTCTGGAAAGAATTATGCTTACAGATAGCATACAGCAGGCAGCAAAGTAATGTGCTCACAAAAAACAGACCCTTTTTTCTTTGAAATTTTTCTTGAAGTGATGGAACTAACACATGGACTGTGACACACGCATTTCTCATATGTCAGTCTGCGTTTAATCCGGATTTAACACAGGGAATTGTGTTGATTGTGATCATTTTTTTCTTTAAATAGCAAGAGTTTGAGAGAAGTATGCACAACCACAGTGATTGCTGGTATTAAAAGAGTATGTATAGGCACACTTCTAGTGGAATAAACCCTCATGCTATTACCTCAAATAATCATGTCTACTGGAGAATGAAGTAGAGTTTGTTTGTTGATGGTTTTCTTCCTTTTTTTCTGAACTTAAAACACTCGTTCTGTGGTATTTGCAGCATTCTCTACCTCTCATCTTTCTGCTTTCTGAATTGAGTTTCTAAAAAGCTTGCTTTTTCTGTGTGGCCTGTTACATACTTCCATTAGTTACTATATAGCCTAAATTAGAGACAGTGACACTGGTCTCAACTGGATTTTTATTTTTTTTTTTTCAGTAAGCAATGTATAGTTTAAACTGGACAGGGAGTACTGCAGGAAGAAAATTGAGATATATTGATTCATATAATACTAATATGTATTTTCTGTAGGTATGTTCTGTGGAGCCTAACCAGCTTCAGTTCACATTACTGACTTTTGAAGATCTAGTTTCATCTGGTATTCCGGTCGCACCTGAGGATTCTGCATATTGGGATAATTTTTGTTCTAAGCAGGAGAGTCCAGTGAAACAGAATTCACTTTCAAGACAAGACTGCTTATAAGAAGAAAATTGTCAAAGTTTTCATGCTGTTACTCTACATAATTCAGAGTGTGAGAATAAGTGCACATGTGTAAATTAAACACGTTTTTCCTGATTTAAACTGACAGTCTGATTTTTCACCGTTTTAAAATTTGTATTCTTTATCAATATCTTAAGGAAGATGCATGTTTCCTTGCTGAAGGAATTCTGGGTGAATAGTCTAAGCTGGCCACATACTTTTCTGCTTCTCCAGGTTTGTGGTGCAATAGTTACCCATGCAACGAAGAGGGAGCAGAGCTACAGTAATGTTTTTGATTAGTCAACAAGTGTTTAATATATAAAAATGTGTTTCTATACTTCATTTATACTGAAGCTTAAATTATGGTACTTTTTCTCACACCTGAAGACAATATTTTATTGTCCTACAATGAATTACAGTTTCTGGAGAAGAGAGGTGGATCTTGAGTGCATCTTCTGAATATTTTGTATTCTTTTTCAAAACAAATCCTGTTTTGTACCATTACTTCCCAGTTTTCTTTCTAGAAGTCATAGATACAATGTGGTCCATCTAAATGTGAGTAAATGTACTGAACAGAATGAGTCATACTGAATGTAATGATTTTCATAACTAAAGCCAGTTCTTTTCTGTCCTACAGTTAAGCATAGGTCTTCAGTGAATGTGAGTTTGTGTGCAACTTGGCTGCAGTCTGTATTCTGACTAAAGAAGAATCTCCTTGTAGTGTAACCACTGGAGCCATGCCTTATTGCAAAGATAAATAAAAGGTTTAGAGGAAAAAGAATACAAGCTTTATAATATTATACAAGCTTGTGGATTTTTGCTGTAGATAATTCAGATATGCTGATAATTTTTCCTACTTCTACAGGTTCTTCTTTTTTTCCATTTTAATGACTACCTCAGTTTCCATTTTAATGACACCCTCATCTGGCATACTAATCATAACTTTTGGTGTTTGGCTTTTTTCCTCCAAAACTGCAAATCAGTGAAACAGTGACTCTTCTCTCCAGACTCAACAGGGGTCAAATTTTGAAGTGACCAGAAATACAGGATAATTTTAATACAAATTTTAAGTCAGATATTGTAGACTGTTTTTTTTTTTTTTTTGGTTGTTGTTTGTTTCTGTTTGGTTTTAATTAAATACAATTTGCAATAAATAAATGTCACTCTGGAGGCCAGAAAAGGCTAGTCAGTGGATATGTAATGGTGTCACTTACTGGGGCAGGATATTTTAAACTGAGTCACTGACTCTAACTCTGTTCTACCTGGAGCGTACTGTAATCCCAGCTGGGCAAGTGCATGGTGGTGTTTAAGAGCTGAGATAACTAGAAGCATTCCCATGCTGAAAGAAAGAAAGGAAGGATTTGTTCTGCCGCAGCTTTTGGAAGTCTGCAGAATAAGGAGGCCTATTCAGTATGAGGGGCTGGAGAGTACAGGGTTCCATGGCTAGCTGGCTGTTAACTGATCAAGTATATGCCAGTCCTCAGCAGTGACTGAGGACACCATCAACTGCATCTGTAGCAGCCAGTTTAAATTTAAAACTTTTTTGCTGGGATAATTAAGTTAACAGCAAATATGAGGTGAGAAGAATAGAGATTTTTCAGATCTAGATTGCTGGGGATAAAGAAATTAGTTTCGTATTAGAGATAAGTTATTTTTACGTGGTGTCAGTGTCTCAAAACAGAATTTTTCTCTCACTGGAAAGAGTTTAAAAAATGTTCATGGAATTATAACACCGGGTTTGCATGTAAGTAAAGGACAAAACGTTTTTGTTAAATTAGAAAATTATACTTGGTTTGCTTGCCAGCAATACGATAATTTTCAGGGCTGTATCTAATTAGAAAGGTTACAAAACCAAAGGAGTTTGTTTTGGTTACCTTTCCATGAAATAAAGGCATCGTTTCTAATGGCCCAGGCAATCATCTAGAGGATTGCAGTTCCTCACACCATGATTTTTTTCTTAAGTAGCATTTTTTAATCTTAATTAGGTAGCAGTAGGGCTAGGAGATGGTAATAAGGGGTGAAGAGCCACTTGAGTCACGCTGTTCAGTGTCACTGCAAAAGGACAGACGTTTTACACTTGCTTTTACCACCATGGGAGAGAGCATCTGTATAGTTGTGGAATTATCAGCTAAAAGCATGCTGCTAAAAGGCCAGGAGGACACTCTGACTCTTTATGAGTGTGAATGATCCTTCTCAAAGTCACCAGAATGTTTTTCTGGGCATCTGTGTAGTGCGGAGGCACATATTAAAATAAATGCTGCTAGCACGCACAGATAAATTCATGTAATCTTAGTAGAATTTCATTTTCAAATCAGTTTGAAGATTTGAATCAATTCTAGGATTTTTTACTTTTTTATTATTATTTCATCATCACACATTCCCTTATATAAAAAACTGAGTCCTGTATCCACACATGGTCATAAAACTGCCTTCCTTGCATTCCCTCAGAATACAGTCTTAATGTCCGTGGAGTATCCCTGCCGTTTTCAGCAATAGTGGTCCAGCGCGACTCCAGCTTCCCTCATTAGTTTAAGTTGTGGGCCTGGTGCAGATGAGCTGACCTTGGCTCATCTCCCATCACTCTTCTATCTGCAAGAAATTTCCCCGTTATGCCTAGAAGCCCTCTGGCCGTCGGTTTCCTTCTCCAGAGCTACTTTTCTTTATCTGTTTTGTTTTCTGTATGCTGCCCTAGCCATGGCCATGCCATGAACCTGGGTCCTAGAGGAAGTGTTCAAGATAAATTTGCATCTGTGTGACAAAAGACTGGTGCCATTTGGTGTGAAAATCTGTAAGTTTGAGAGGTGGATTGTGTGAATTCACTCAGGCTTTCACAAAGTATATATGATATATATAATTTATATAATACGCAAGTTGTATATTGTAGTATATTACGGGATCAAGTGCACTGATGTTGATCAAACATACTCATCTTAGACAAGAAATAGTAGAGTAACAGCAGAGGCAGTGTAAATGAGGTTGTAATTTATATGTTCTTGGAAATATTTAGGCAACAACTTACCTCTAGACAATCATCTTTACCCAAGACATTGCAATAAATTCATAATCTGCAAAGAAGATCAGGATAGGAAGGCAAAGATAGCTAGCTATGCAAGTGACCAGAAACTGTCTCTTTGTCAGAGCTTTACAAGATCATAGTGCTGCATTCTACAACAAAAAGTGATTCATGAGCAGAACTGATACAACCAAGTCTAAAAAGGTAATTCAGACTTCCCTCCTTAACTGCTGCCCAATTCTGCAAGTGGCTCGACATGCTAATTTGCACATCATGCTCCTCCGGGATATGGGTACTTGGATTGCTGTACATTACACAGAAGATGTAATCATGGAAATAAATTCTGAATTATTCTCAAGAGTGCCAACATTTTAGAACTTTTTTTCAAAAAGTCACTTTTTGTACTGTGGTATTTTCTTGTCCTGTTCATAAAGTTTTTTTTATGGCCAGATACTGTGTCTAACTCCTATTTCTGTTAAGATTGAGTTTAATTTCTTTATTGGAATAAAAAGT